CTTAACTGGTCTGATAACGCAGCCGTCGTTTATCCTGTGCGGGACATTACGGTTGCTTGGTATGAACGAAACTGAAGTAACTCTATGCAGTTTTCATTACTCTGCCTTACGCACCTTATCTCTTTGCTCTTGTCTCCGTCTGATGTTAATTACTTGTGACAGACTTATAGCAATCAAATTTACTCTTCGCTATCCTCATCTTGTCACGACGAGAAGCATTAAGGTGGCAGTGATCACAGTTTGGATCGTTTCTCTTATTTTTCGAGTAGCCAGGAATGTGGAAAACAAACCGATGATGGCATTTTCAATTTTCATTTACATTTTTTGCGTTATTTTCATTGTATTTTCGTACTTGATTTTGTATCGCGAAATAATTCGCCACCAGAAGATGATCAAAACTCAACAGCTGCCGCAAGAAGAAGAGGAAAGATTCGCTAAGGAACACAAAGCGCTCAAGACAACTGTGATCGTTGTCGGTGCTGTTCTGCTGTGCTTTGTGCCTGTGGTTTTCGTTATCGTACTAGGAGCTCTAGGATTAGTTACTACAGCGTTAGTATCATGGGTTGGCACGTTGATCATGTTCAATTCACTCCTTAATCCATTGATTTACTGCTGGCGACAAGAAGAAATGAGAAAGTTCGCATTTAGGTTTAAAACTCAAGTCGTTGTTCCCATCAGCTAAAATTAAAAGCAACCGGAAAGACTGAAAACTTTACTGGCTCTAAATGCTTCATTAAAGTGTAATGCGTTTAATACAGAAGATCACTGCTACCTAAATAGATATCCATGTTACTGCAAAGAATCAAATTGTAACGTTTCCTTACCATGCAATAAATTGCGCTATTGTCAAGAGTGGCTAATAAATGAAGTTTTGACTGGAACTGTTTTTGATTTTTTTNCATGGGTTGGCACGTTGATCATGTTCAATTCACTCCTTAATCCATTGATTTACTGCTGGCGACAAGAAGAAATGAGAAAGTTCGCATTTAGGTTTAAAACTCAAGTCGTTGTTCCCATCAACTAAAATTAAAAGCAACCGGAAAGACTGAAAACTTTACTGGCTCTAAATGCTTCATTAAAGTACAATGCGTTCAATACAGAAGATCACTGCTACCTAAATAGAAATCCATGTTACTGCAAAGAATCAAATTGTAACGTTTCGTTACTATACAATAAATTGCCCTACTGTCAAGAGTGGCTAATAAATGAAGTTTTGACTGGAACTGTTTTTGAATTTTTTTGGAGGGAAAGCGGGCAATTGAGTAAGAAAAACACACGACTGAGTCTGTTTGGTTCTCACCTTTAGAATCTCAGATGAGAGCAGATGAACCTCCTCTCGGTTAAAAAACTTTCAGTAGGTTCACTTTCTTAGGATGCTAGTCCAATACAGGGCAACTCCATCCCCCCACTATGTTTAAGTTGAAACAGTTACGGACTCCAAACTTTATGCTCTTTTTGTAAACGAGAAGTCGAATCCTTCGAACATTTGTCTTACTACTGTGACGTGACAAAGACTTTCTGCAAGCATTTTTTCCTTATGCAATTTTTTCGCAGTTTTATTTTAAAAGCCTGTGTTTCCTTCAATTTTCGTTTTACTTATGTATATGCTTAAGGTTACATTGCAACTGCGAAAATTACGACGAATTTATTAACAATTTTAATTAATTCACAATGAGGAAATGACTGTAATCACACTGCTATAGCATCCAGTATTCAGTGTTTTGTTTGTTTTCAGTTCGCAGGTAGCACGTGGGCTTGTCTCTTACAATGCAAACTGTTTCTCATTTCTTTTTGTCGCCAGCAGTAAATCAATAGATTATTAAGGAGCGAGTTTAGAATGAGAAATGTACGAATCCATGGTACAGAGACTAACATAACCAGTCCAGCACTTCTTAAAACGACTGATGAAAACCACAAGCACAAAGCACAGCAGAACTGTACCGACTACAAACACAGTTGTCTTAAGCGCTTTGTGCTCCTTATCAAATCGTTCCACTTCGTCTTGTGGTAGCTGTTGAGTTTTAATCATCGTCTGGTGGCGAAGTATTTCAAATACAAGATTACGTAAGAAACTACAATAAAAAGAATGCAGAAAATAATATAAAAGTAAAAGCTACTAAAAAGAAGGAAATTGTTATTAATGGTTCATTGTTTATTGGCCTGAATACCCCAGGAAAAAGAGAGACGATCCAAACTGTGATCCGCCTGCCACCTTAATGCTGCGCGTTGTAACAAGATGAGGAGAAGTAAATTTGATGACTATAGGTCTGTCACACGTAATAATGGCTCCCGATATTATTTGAACTGAGAAAAGTTAAATATCAGCCAGTGGGGAGGGGATTCCTAGTTGGGGGGGAGCCGGTGAGGGGAAATCGTTTATTCCCTGAGCCTGCAGTACAATTGCAGGCAGTCCATAGCAACTGATTCAAAATGGCGGTCAAAAGAAACGATAAAAGTTTACGTCCGGATCTCGCTGCATAACCTGAAGAAAATAGCTGTCGATATGGCACACGCTAAGGATGTGGAAGTGGAACCTCCAATGCACCTTCAACGGCCATCTTCAGGTCGCTCACAAGATGTGTCGCATTTGCTCGCGAGTGTTTTTCGGGAGGTTTTCACTCGCGATGTTATCGGAGAAGACACGGTGAAGAACCTAGCTATTTCAAAAAGCGGCGACGCTGGCTACCACGATAAATATGTAGAACAGCTAAGGCAGGTAAGGCAGCAGTAAACCTTCCTGTGTGTTCTCAAGAAACAAAAACTATAAATGCCTGTAGGGCTACCATCTGAACATTCAGCCAAAATCCCCTCGAATATACTCAAGACTTTAGAATTACGGAGAAGATAACGGCTGTCTAGAAAGCGAAGACCGAAGACCGAAGACCCCTCGAAAACAAAGACCCCCAAGAAAACGAAGACCTCGAAAACGAAGACCCCCTAGAAAACGAAGACCCCCTAGAAAACAAAGACCTCGAAAACGAAGACCCCCTAG